CCCCGCCTCGACTGGCCAGAAGGAACTTCAGGCCATCATCAACCAGCTGCGACGCCAGCTCAAGCAGGCACAGGGATTCAAGAAGCGCTCGGTCGACGACCCGGATGCCAGCTCGGACGACGACGACGACGACGATGACGACCTCCCCTACGCCTTCCACGTGGACCTCGAGCAGCTTGCTGCCAACGCCACCGTACAGGCAGACGAAAAGCCCGAGCTGGTCAAGAGCAACGCACGCATCCCCATCAACACGTCCATCACCGACGATGTGCTGGGCGCACAGGCGGCCAAGAAGCTCGGCCTGAGCCAGGAAGACACGCTCACCGTCGTGTTCGAGCCGCAGGCGGTATTCAAGGTGCGACCGGTGAGTCGCTGCTCGAGCACCATGAGCGGCCATGCGTCGCCCATCCTCTGCAGCACCTTCTCGCCCACCGGATCGCTCCTCGCCACGGGCGCCGGCGACAAGACCGCGCGGCTGTGGGATCTGGACACCGAGACGCCCATGCACACGCTCGTCGGACACTCCAACTGGGTGCTCTGTGCTGAGTGGGAGGGCCGCGAACGCAAGCTTGCCACAGGTGGCATGGACGGCGAGGTGTGGATTTGGGAGGCGCTCGATGCCTCCTTCACCGGCCGCAAGGGCTGGCTCTCGCGCACCACCCAGCAGGTCGATGCAGAATGGGAGGCGCAGCAGCAGCAGGCCGATGAAGCCGACGAGGCAAAGCCCGCTAAGATGGGTGTCAAGCAGCGTCGCGCCGCCAAGAACGCCGCGCCGCAGGGAAAGCCGTTGCGCGGCCATACCAAGTGGGTCACCTCGCTCTCGTGGGAGCCGATCCACGCAAACCCGACCAACCCGCGTCTGGCGTCTTCGTCCAAGGACGGAACGGTGCGCGTGTGGAATCCGACGCTGCATCGCTGCGAGTACGTGCTGGGCGGTCACACCGCGTCGGTCAACTGCGTGCGCTGGGGTGGCGAAGGTGCGCTCTACACCGCTTCTTCCGACCGCACCGTCAAGGTCTGGTCGGCGGATGGCGGTAAACTCATTCGCAGCCTGAGCGAGCATGCGCACTGGGTCAACACCATTGCGCTCTCCACCGATTTTGTGCTGCGTACCGGTCCATTTGACCACACGGGAAGAGCGACCGGTGCCGGGTCGGCGACACCGTCGTACGTGCAGCCTTCGGACGAAGACGCGAAAGCCTCGGCGCTCAAGCGGTTCAAAGAGGCCATGGGGGGCGGTAGCAATGCCGAGACGATCATCACTGGTTCGGATGACCACACGCTCTTCCTCTGGCCTGCCCAAATCGGTGGGTCGGCAGCAACACCCAAAAAGCCGGTAGCACGTCTTACGGGGCACCAAAAGACGGTCAACCACGTCGCCTTTTCGCCCGACGGAAAGAAAATTGCCTCGGCCTCGTTCGACAATAGCGTCAAGCTCTGGGACGCCGCCACGGGAAAGTTCATTGCGACACTGCGAGGACACGTGGCATCGGTGTATCGCCTGGCCTGGTCGTCCGATTCGCGTCTGCTCGTTTCGGCTTCCAAGGATTCGACGCTCAAGCTGTGGGATCCGATCAAAACGTTCAAGATCCGAAAAGATCTGCCGGGCCATACCGACGAGGTGTACTGCGTCGACTTTGTCGCCGATAAAGTCGCCAGTGGCGGCCGCGACAAGGTGGTCAAGATTTGGCGCCATTGATCCACCACACCGCGCGCAGATAGAGTCCATAGAATAGCCAAGTTTATTGACACCGAGTCCAGTTAGCGTACAACATGTGCAAGCAGCGAGGCTCAGGGATTAAGACCGAGCCTTTCAAAGAACGCCGGTATGAGTCCCGCTGAAAAGAGCCCAATGTTGGTGTATACAATCACCTTGGTCAGCACTGTGGAGAAAAGCAAAAGGTGTCAGTAAATCTTGTGTCAAAGTAACGAAAGTGTTCAGCGAGCGCGGGCTTACCATCGGCATCGTAGTGCTTGACTTCGGCATCTTTGGCCGCGGTTGGAGCAGGCGTGGCCGCAACTGGCGATTTGGCAAGTCTGTCGGCCGACGGTGAAGTGGTCTCCTGCCTATCGTCCGGGTCGTCGCTGGGGCTGCCGATCGTGAATTGAATCTTGCGTTTCTGCAGTGTCCTTCGCATCTCGATCGGGTTCGGACTTGGCGTTCTCGACGGTACGGGCGACACCACAGGCGAGCGGGCCAGCACGGGCGATGCAGCCGCCAAGGGCGTAAGTGCACTGCCTATCGATCCACGCACGTCGGCACTGCCGCGTCGACTGGGCACGGGCGATCCCAGAGGCGACTGGATCGTCTGCTGCTTGCCGCTCTCGTCCGTGACGATGATCTGCGATGGCAAATCGATCACCGAAGGCACCGCACTCAGGTCGGCGAGCGGGATCTTGTTGTAGTCGCTCGCAGGCGTGTAGTGTCTCCTAGGCAGACTGAAGCCCACCAGCTGATCGACTAGACGGAATGTAGGCGGCAAGATCACCTTGCATGCCGTCTTGACGATCACGCGCAGCAGCAGCACATTGACCAAGCCGAACACCATGACCAGTGCGCTCTTGATCCACTTCTCCGCCGCACCTGCTGCGGGGAACTGGATGAGCGGCACCACTTCGGCTGCTGCCTGCACCGCCTCCGTGCCCGCCTCGGCAAACGAGGCCGCCGCGCTCGAGAAGGCATGAATGATCGGGTCGGTGGCAAGCGTAATGCCATAGCGGATGCCGGACCATCTCGCCAATGCCACACCCATGGCGACCGAGACGAACGCAATCGCATCTTCGAAGCACGGGCAGTCGTCGACGGGCTGAGGATGCACCGAGACCATGAGCAGCCCTGCGGGCACAATCACCGCCGGAACCCACCAGTTTCCCGTGCGGATGAAGTCTTCGATTGGGTCGAAGAAGCGCCACTGCACAGCCGTGATCGCTGCGCCGAGGGCCGAGCCGGCGACACAGTCGATCACCGAGTGCATGCCGGCGTAGATCCTGCCATACACGACGCTGGTGCCGTAGAAAAGCAGCCCGGCCTCCCAGAGCCACGAGTCGAAGATGCCCGACGCATCGACGTTGCCAATGGCATGCTCGCGCATGCGACGCACCCAGAGGTAGATGTAGAGCGCGATGCTGACGCTGTTGGTGGAGTGGGTGGAGGGAAAGCCGTACTCGAGATGGTGGGTGCCCACTGTGAGGCGTGTGACGGGGGGCGAGTAGGGGCGCGGCACGCAAAAGAGGTCCTTGATGGCCGACGAAAGGTAGACGCCAAACGCGAGCACGTTGATGAGGCCGCGTCCGAAGCGCGGACTGCCGAGCCAGAAGATCATGGGGAGGAAGACGAGGAAGAAGGAGTGGGTGCCGAGCAGCGAGGTGTTGACAAAGTAGCGGTCGAGCCAGGGCCGACGAATCCAGCGTTGGTGGCGCTCATGCAGCGGCGCCTCCTTGCGGAGCACGGCGACGATGATGCGACGCAGAATGGCGATCGGGCGCGGGAGGTAGGCGTCGTATACGGCTTCGTCCTGGAGACCGATGGAGGTGGTCAGCTCGTGCTGGGCGACCGAGTCCTTGTCAGTGGACTTGACGTACGACGAGCCGCGCAACAGACCGATGCGTTCGATCTTCTCGTGCTTCTGTACGTGGCCGCGCTTGCCCTTCTTGTCCGGGTCGGCGGCGAGTTGCGCGGCATTGGCGGTGTTGGTGTTGACGGTGAGGTCCGGACGCGAGGGTGGAGTGGAGGCCGAGCCGTTGATCCAGCTGCCAGAGATCTTGCGATCCTCGTCGATGCTCGAGGTGGAGGCCTCGCGCACGGCTGGCGTACGCCGTTGCTGCAGAGTGGAAGAGGAATGCGGCATTTTGGCTGATGGTGAGAGTGACAAACAGAGGTAGGTGGAGGCGTCTACAGCATGTCGATGCTGTCTACTCTTTCAGCAAGAGACGAGGGAGGTTGAAGGGAGGACGAAGGAGGTTTGGCGTTGACGATGGTCGGAACGAAGCACGGGCTCAAGCTTCCGAGAGCCGGAAAGGAGTGTCTCTGAATTGTAAGCTGCAGCACGACGTGCAGCAAGGAGAGCGAGCGTGCAAGGAGAGGCAGCCCGAGTGTCGAGTGCCTGTCTGTCTCTGTTGCTCGTGATTGCGAGGATTCGAGGCGGAGAGCAAAAGGCCGAATCGAACGAGTTTCCGGTCAGGAATGGATCGGCGATCAACGTCGATCCCCACCGAGACGGATCGGAAGATTTGGTCCCAGCCCAGCGACGGCGTCACGCGGGTGGGCGCTGGCAAGAAGTCGTAGCGCGAATCGCCTGGTCAGCGGCCATGCGCAAATAATGAGCTGCACGCGCGGGGTGGCAGCTGCATACACGCACGCTCACCAAAATTGATGGGGCTCGGCGGCAGACGACCAACGAGCGCTGCATGCAAGTAAGGCGGGGACGTGCGTTGCGGCTGACCCGCTCGCTCGCTGGCTTGCTCGGCCAACCCATCTGAAATCTGAGTTTGGCCACGCAGCTCTAAATCGCGAATTTTCCCTGAGCCGGCTCGTGCGGTACAACTAATTCTTGTCACCTTTTTCTCAGCCCGAGCGAGTGAGCAGCAGCAGAGACGCGTTGGCGTGAGGGCAAAGCTGCAACTGCAGCGGCCAAGTCTTCTGGAACCAAAAGGCTCAGATTCCAGAAGATCCGCCAGCAGCTCAGACCAGAAAGCAGCGCTAGCTTCGTTGTACGCTGACAGCAGAGGCCCACGTTCTTATGCTCTCGGATTCCCCCTGCGTCTGCGTCTGTGCTCCGTCCTCGGCTGGGAAGCTCGTGCCTCGGTCGCCACCGTCGTCACTTTAGTCACCATCACCATCACGGCCCCCACCGCTCTTGTTTCTATCACCCGCAGTCTCGATCGCCTGCTGCCACCGCGCACTCCTCGGCCCTCAACGAGTGGCAATCTGCCCGACTGGTCATCTCGCGGTACGCTAGCTCGTCCCAGCCACCCGTGCCTGCTCGTCTCCATTTCATACCCTCGATCGAGCCAGTCCAGACACCCCCCGCCAAGCCCACTCTCGTTGCAAAGCAGCTCGCCCGACTTCATATCCGACACTCGCTCAGCGCAATTTCCACTTTGACAGCCTTGCTTTGACACAACCACCATCACGGCCACACCCGCCCCCTCACACGCATTCACTCACACACGCTCTCTCGCTCTTACTCGAAGTCAGGCTCCAACATGCCCAAATCATCAGCGCGCTCGCGCCCTTCTGCGCCAGCAGCCTCCTACAAGCCTTCAAAAGACCTCAGAACCAGACCGTCCCGCTCCAGAGAATGGTCCGCCACACGAAGAGCAGCCGAACAGTCGCTCTCGACACAGATCCACTACACCATGACCGGCGTCGTGGCGCTGCTCGTCATGCACACCCTCTCATCCCCATCGTCGCTCTCGCTCGCCCACCTCTCTTCGCATCTCCATCTGCCCCACTCGCTCAACTCGATCATCCCCTCATGGCTCAGGCTGCCTTCGCTCGCCCAGTTTGCCACAGATCTGCCCAACGCATCCGAAAAGGGCGGCCACCACCTCTGGTCCGATCTCGCCTCCAACCTCGTCGGTGGCGAGGCTAGTCTCGGTCCGTTTCGCAGCGATGCGCGCGGCTTTGGACACCCTCTCACCGCGCTTCACAACTTTACGCGTGCCTGCCTCGGCCTCTCGTATCCCGTGCCCGACTCGGCCTCTTCGCCCATCGCCGCACTCAAGCATCAGGCACACCGCATGAGCGGCAACGCCTCCGTACGTTCGGGTCCGTGGGCGCTGCTCTACGGCGTGCCCGGCTACCTGTACGAACGCGGCTCTAAAGACGCCCTCTTTGTCGCCACGCTCGTGCTCCTCTTCACGCTCGCACGCGCGCTCCTTATGAAGTACCTCCTTCTGCCTCTCGGTGAAGTGGCGGTGCCGCATCCGAAGAAGCTGCGCAAGTCGGCAAGCCAGTCGGCCGAGGCAGTTGCAGAGCATGCAAAGTCGCTGCGCATTCGCGAGAAGGAGGTGCTCCGCTTTGCCGAGCAGGGCTTCAGCCTGGTCTACTACACCTGCTCCTGGAGTCTGGGTCTGTACATTGCCTCGCGCGAGTCGTACTGGCCACTCAACACCATCGAGTACTGGACCAACTATCCGCAGTTCCGTCTCGAGCCGCTCTTCAAGCTCTACTACCTCGGCTCCTGCGCCTTCTACATCCAGCAGCTCTTTGTGCTGCATGTCGAGGCGCGCCGATCCGACCACTGGCAGATGTTTTCGCACCACGTCATCACCATCGCTCTCATTGCGGGCTCGTACGTGTGCAGCTACCACCGCGTCGGTAACGCCATCCTCTGCCTCATGGATCCCAGCGACATTGCACTCAACATTGCCAAGATGCTCAAGTATGCCGGCTGGCAGACCACGTGCGACATCGCGTTTGGTCTGTTTATGGTCTCGTGGCTCGTCACCAGGCACGTGCTCTACATTCGTGTCGTCTGGTCCTGCATCCACGACACGCTCAAAGTCATGTCGTTCCGACCCACCAACTACCTGACCGGCGACTTTTTCACACGCACCGCGTTCTTTACGCTAATTGGGTTGCTGTGCGCACTGCAGGTCATCCTGCTCATGTGGTTCTACATGATCTGCAGAGTCGCCTACCGCGTTGTCACCAAGGCCGGAGCAGTCGACTCGAGGTCGGATGCAGAAAGCAGCTACGAGGACGACGAGGAGGACGAGCAGGCTACTGCGACACGCGAAAAGGCACAGGCGGCCACGTCCGCATCCTCAACACGGAAGAGGTCCAAGCGCAAATAGAATCGTCGCATAGATGCACCTCCGATAACAAATCTCATTGTCGTGTTCCCGCAAAGCCTCGAAGCAGAGTGCGTACTAGCCGCAGTGAAAGCGCTAAGTTAGTAGGCTAACGGCGGGCTCAACTGAGATGGGTCTGGCCAGGAGATGGCGTGCTTCGCTGCCTCGAGGCGCGGTCAGATGCTCTCCGTTGATGAGAGCCACTGTGTCGATCGACCTTGGCCGAAGCACACTCGTTCACCTGGATCCCATCTCATCCGCTGGAGTGCTTCGCTTTACGACCTGGCCATGTGACCATGCTTGATCGACAATCCTCTGCTTCCGATCGGAGAACGCCGATGTGTCCCGATGTGGGTGCGATATCGGGTGGTGACCGAGATATCCGGACGACGGTGAATTGCAGGGCGAATTGTTGTGCCCGGTGAGCAGCCACATCTGCTGGGAGCGAAAGCTTTAGCCGACCTCCTCGGGGGAGTTGTGCTGTAAAGAGTGGGGGAAGTGCGCGCGCGTGGCTCGGAGGAGGGGACGCGAGGCCCAACCGAGCATGCAGCGTCATGTTGAGCGCAGCTGTGGTGGCGAAAAGCCCCCGGTTTCTGCGCGTCAAAAGTGCGGGGTGTTCGCCGGCTTGTTCGCCCACCTCCGCCCCCGCCGTCACCGCTTATGCACAATTCGCCGCCCTGCCGCCCTGCCGCACCGCGGCCGACACTGCATTACCGCCGCCCCCTCGGCTTCCTCTGACAGTTGACCGTACACCGCGAACCATCGCACCGCGCGGATGCGGGGCATCTCGCACACTCCCTCGCGAGAGGCGATCCAACCGAGCGGGGGTGCGTGGCGTGAGTGTGGGGTTTGTGGGGTAATCCCCGCACTTGTCACCTTCGTAGCCCCTCATCGTGGTCCGTCGCCACGGTAGGTGCCTTCGTGCACGAGGCTGAGGACAAGCGTTCCTCTCGCATAGACCCAACCGAGGCTGCTCGTGTGGTCCTGTGGCCAACTTGCCCCACACTGCCAAGAGGCTCGCATCCGCCCACCAAGCGACGATTCGCCCAGGTGGTGGCCCTACCCCATGACCTCCTAGCCGCGCTTCCCCGAGCAGGTGGTATAAAGAGCTGTGCTTGATGTTGCTTCTTCCCTTCCCCTTTGACACCCTCTGCCCATTAAGGCTCGCTCGAAAGACTTGTCAACACCCCTTCCGCGACCATCACATCACCGTTGACCGACACACTTCATTTCAACTCCTCGAACCTTTCCTCTGCTCCCCATCGCCTGTCGACGAGCTCAACATGTCGTCCGATTCCAAAGAAAAGGTCGACCAGGTGCTGTACGAGACGACAGACCACAACTACGCCGCGGAACGCACCGACTCGATCGTCTCGCACCCACACGATGGCAGCATCCAGTTTGATGCAAAGGGTCTGCCCTCCGATCCGGAGCAGTACGCCACCTGGCGCAGAGGCATCCGCAAGCTCGACTGGCGTGCCGTACCACCCCTCGGCCTGCTGTGGCTTGCCAACTTTGTAGACCGCAGCAACGTCGGCAATGCAAAAGTCGCCGGCCTCACCACAGATCTCAAGCTCGACGGCAACAAGTTCAACATCGCCCTCGCCATCTTCTACATCACCTACATCGCCTCCGAGATCCCAAGCAACATGGCCTTGCGAAAGTTTGGAGCCAAGTTCTGGCTCCCTTTCATCGTGTTCTGCTGGGGCATCATCACGGTCTTCTTCGGATTGGTGCAGAACTTCGCCGGTCTCTGTGTCATTCGTCTCCTCTTGGGCCTGTGGGAAGGGGGTCTACTACCAGGTATGCCGCTATACCTTTCGCAGCTCTACCCTAGATACATGGTTCAGGTGCGCATCGCGTATTTCTATGCGGGAGCGAGTCTTTCTGGTGCGTTTGGTGGCTTGCTCGCCTCGGGGCTGATCCAGATGGATGGTCTGGGTGTTCAGAACAGGTTGTTTGCTAGTTTGAGGCCTGCTACGGCCAGGGGAGTCGCAGGATGGCGCTGGATTTTTATCATGGAGGGCTTGATCACGATTGTATTTGCATGCATCGCGTGGTACATGCTGCCTGCATCTGTCAAGAAGTCAAAGTTCCTCAAGGACGACGAGCGCGAGCTCATGCTTGCGGTGCTGGGACGCGATCAGCAGAACAACCGTGCTGCGGCTGCTAGCGTCGCACCTATCGTCAAGACCACCGGCGATACGGAAAAGCA